ATGGTGGGTTCTGCCAGTGCAGCCATTGCTCTGCATTACACAAATTAGCAAAGAAAACAAGAAATGTTTATTAATGGCATCCAAGCTAAATGAAAGAGAAAAGGCATATCAGGACATTGCGAATGCTTTTCAGAGGATCCATTTTCCCTCAAGAACACTGCAGAAGGGAAAAAATTTACATTTCCCCCTTCCATATATCTGCTGAAATAATTATCAGGACTCTGGGGCTGATGTTATTTGCATTTAAAAAAAAATAACTTCATTTTAAGTACAAAGGTACACTTCCTGTCCTATTACATCACATGCCTTAAATGCTCAGTCTCAAAATCCTGGTAATTGAATAAAACTTCCCGGGCACTGTCTGTTCCGACTGACTGTTCACTGTACAACCACTGCTCCTAAAGTGAGTTTCAGTTATCCCTGCCAAGCACCATTTATTAATTCCCCAGAGGCAACCTTCCCCAGATTCTGGAGGTGATTAACCCCTGCAGTGCCAGAGGGAAAGGGCTCAATTTTGTAACATAAGTTTACTATCATTTGTTACCTTTGTAACTCGCTCTTCCCCCAAGCAGATCATACAGTTACCAGTAAATTTCATAAGAAAATTCTGGGGTATGTAAAATGGAAACAAAGCTCCTTGACTGAAATCATCTTGTTATCTTCATGGCAGAAGAAACTAAGTTCGGTGTACCAGTGTAAGAGAGAATAACAGCTACCACAAAGCCCAGTACACAGTTAAAGAGGATTTCTCCAGGCTTTTGTAAAACGAAGCAGATTATTGAGCAGGAGCAGGAAAGTTAGAGGAGTGTGAAATATTGCTCATTATTCATCCTTTCGTCCAGCTCAGCCAATTAGCACCTTTTCTTCCACACTATTACCATGACTTTCTTGCTTTGCAAGCAGATTCCATTATACTTTTTAGATTGTTAAAAATAGGTCTCTGAATGGAAGAGTACCACAGCCAAGCTGTGTTTTTCCTATGGCATGATACGGTGCAGAGAAAATGGCTTTATCTGAGGACTCATCATTAGCCCTATGGTAAACTGTTACACATTGCAATATGGGTCACATTTGATGTCACTGAAAAGAGAGCACAAGGAAATCCTCATTTGCACATTCAGCTCTTCGTGGAGTACTCCTCATCTCATCGAAAAGAAAATTAAGAAGCTTCATTATGCAGCTCCATCAGTTCCTAAGGATTCATTATTCCTTCACATGAATTTGGAAAGGAGTGAACTAAAACTGCAGATGCAGTTCACTAGGGAAGAATAGAGACTTCCCAACTGCTCAGTTCTGAGAAAAGGAAATGGCTAGTGAATTTCTCCAGGTCTTATAATTAAGCAAAATAGTAATGTAGTGTAAATTGTAAATAACAGTAGATAATAACAATGGGAAACATGGTGTTTTGTTCTGACAAACTTAGGAATGATGAGATGAGCTATTTGTCATGCTGCTTGTTCTGTATCCTTCATCTTGATATTTTCAAAAGCAAGACAAGGCAGAAAATAAGGTGGAAAAGAAGGATGGTTCAATTATTCCAAAAAAAAAAACCCTCTGGTTTATTTGAGATATTGTGCTTCTGTACCCACAATCCCAATGCCAGGAAATAGGCTGATATTGCTGCACAATAATGTGCCTGTATTGCCAGCAGGAAAAAGGATGCCAAACTTTACATTGTAAAGAGCAGCCTGAATGTTGACAACACCCATGTCAGCAGTCAAGATGGTCTGCAGGATCCCCTCTTGTGCTCACTAACGTATCTTCTAGGCATTTTGATTACTTTGTGGCTCCAAGCAATTGATATCTAGAGAACATGCTGAAAAACAACCCTGACAATTGCTTTGTGTTTGGTTAAGTGATGAAAAAAGGAATCCGTTTCTGGAATTTCCCTCTGCTTGGTGTCTCTCTCGGAATGGTAGTGAGCACAAGAGGGGATCCTGTAGGCACCTGTTGGGTGTCGTCAACATTCAGAATACCCTTTGCTATGTAAAATTTGACATCGTTTTTCCTGCTGGCAATGTAGACATGATATTATGCAGCTATATCAAGCAATTTCTTGATGTTTTGAGTTGATACAGAAGCACAGCATCCCACATTCATAACGAGATTTTATTTTGAGAATTGAGTTTCCTGGCTTTTAAAAATGGAAGTTTAAATATGCATACATTACATGCACATTCCAACAGAAACTTCCCTTATACAGTATAAAATTACCAAGTGCTAAAAGATCCCAGAAGATGAGCACAACAGTACTGGAACATCCAGGAACAGTTTATTATGGATATGTGCATTTGCAAATGTACCACTATCAATGCCAAGAGTTAGGAATTAGGACAACTTGATGTTTTTTTATTCAGCAGTGTGGTCATACCCTTAGTGTATGGTCACCCCTTTGCTATTTCTTGAGATATTTGATCCGGCAACTGTGGCACATGCTTTAGTTACTTCCCAGGTGGATTACCGCAACATGCTCTATGTGGGGCTTCCAATGGAAAGTGTCAGGAAACTTCAGTGGCTCCAAAATGTGGCAGCCACATTGCTGACTGGGGTTGGTAACAGGGATCACATACGCCACTCCACCCCACCCCTTTATAGCAGCTCCACTGGCTGCTGATCAGTTTCTGGGCACAATTCAAAGTGCTGGTTTTAACTTATAAAGCCCTAGATGTCTTGGGTCCAAGCTATTTCAAACACCGTATCTCCCATTATGAGCCGGCTTGGATGTTAAAATCATCAGGAAAGATCTTTCTCTCAGTCCCACCACCTTCACAGGGACACTTGATTGGGACGCGGGAGAGGGCCTTCTCCGTGGCTGCTCCCAGACTTTGGAACTACCTCCCACTGGAGGCCAGGCTGGCCCTATCTTTGTTGTCCTTTGTCAAGCAGGCAAAGACCTTTCTCTTCATGCAAACCTATTGTAACGTGGCTGGCCACTCCTTTGTCTCTGCCTACTCAGGCCTCACAGAATGGTCACCTCGCTACCACACACTCTTGCTGCCACCAACCTTTCCTTTAAATGAAAAGGACAAGGGTTTCTTTCAAAAATAAAACTGGTTTATTGATTACAAAATAAAATAAGTAAATCACTGGAAGATAATCAAGGTGTAAATCACTGTTTCTTAATCAACCAATAACACATAGACTTTCCCTCACTGACAACTCTCACAGCAGATCTCTCCAGATCTCCCTCACTCACTGTCTGACTATCACACTCTTCACCCCCCCTTTTTTTTATACCAGCTCCTCTCCTTCATTTCCACCCTCCGTCACACCATTGGCTGATGATTCACTGCCCAGCTGTGATGGACAGGTGAGGTCATGGCTGCCCGTTACACCTTCACTCAGTGACTGGCTGCCCGAATGGGGTTTTCATATGGATTGTTTTGTGCTGCTGTTTTGACTGAGTTTTTAGCACTACTTATGTTTTCAATTTCTCAGAGTGGTATTTGTATACTTATTGTTTTTAGCTTCAATATTGCCTTTTTATGATGCCTTTTATACTCATTGTTCCTAGCTTTAAATATTGGCTTTTAATGATTTAAAGTTAAACCATTGTTGTATACTCCTTGTTTTCAGCTTTAGATATTGTCTTCCAATGATGTAAGCCCCCTTGGATCCTTTTTAAGGAGAAAGGCAGGGTAAAAATATTATAAACCAACCAACTAACAAATGAATAAATGGGAAAGATGGAAGAAGGGAATATGAAAGAGGAATCGGTGCTTAGAAATGAATATGAGCAACTGGAGTTATTTGTGGCTAGGCTTAGAATGATAGTACCTTCCCTCTTGTTCATTTGAAAGGGAAAATAAGATGCAGTTAAAGAACAGAAATTAATAAAGGAAGCAAACACTATCAGAGGAGCCTCAAGCAAATCAAACACTTGATTACACAATGGAGGCGATGGAGTCCACAATTAACCCATGTAATATTCATTGTCAAAACAAAGGATCACTCCTTGGAACAGTTTCCACTGAAATAATGGGTAAAGAAGTGGGAATGTTTATTAATCAAACAAGTTTTAATCAGCTTAGATGATATGCAAGCATTTAACATAATAGTCTACTTGATAGCATCCTCCATGGTAATGGGTTTTCAATGCTGCTTTTGAAAGGAAAAAAGATGGTCTATTGGATAAATGTATTAAAAATGCCATTAAGTTACAGATCTTAAAGCTCAATTACAAGTATCCTTTAGCCCTCATCAACTCATTTCAACCTCAAATTGCCTTTCTCTGCCTCTGGTATTTTTCTCATCCAGGATGTTTATCTCCCTTTTCTTTCACCTGAATTAATGTACGTTTATCAGCCTTTTGAGTTTTTTGTTTTGCTTTTCTTTGTGGCGGCTGTTTTTCAAATCCTAAATGAGAAATGGATTTGACCATTCTACATGGGGGATGTATGATGCCAGTAAAAATAAGACATAATGCATTGCTGAAGAATATAAATAGTGGTCCGAAAAAATAAGTTTCATAAGCTCTGGTTAACCCAGAAAAGGTACTTGTGCCTACAGAAGAGTCTTTCTTCATTCAGAGGTATACCTCATTGGTTCCCCATACTTTGAGTACAGAAGAGTCTTTCTTCATTCAGAGGTATGTATACCTCATTGGTTCCCCATACCTTGGTTGATGTTCTTGGGCTATAACTCTCAGAAATCCTGGCCAGCACAGCTGGTGGTGAAGACCCAAGAACATCTGGGGAACCAAGGCTGGGAACCAGCTCTCTAAATCAACCACCACCACCCCTGGACAAAGGCATCTGTTCCTGAGTACAAAATGCATCATGAAAAGCAGCCCTGAGGTTTGAATGATACACATTTCAGCCATAGATTGCATCAAAATTCTGTAAATATGTACCGGAAAGGGAGATTTTGGAAATTCTATCCAACCAGTCTATGACATTTGGGTGCATGCTTTAGTGGTATAATTAGTAACTCTGTCCCACCTGTGCTGGTGATACTCACAGACTGTACTCCCTAAGGCCGGGTCTCCATTTCATCCACAGGTTTTTGCCAATGATTCACTCTCCATGAGCAGGGACTGCTTGCCGTTTTACCGCTCATCCCCTGCGTGCACCACTGGTCACTATGGAGTTTTGATTGGAAACGTATCAGCCTTAAATCCAAGGCAACAGATTAATAGCCTAACCTCCTTCCTCGACGCATCTACGGTTTATGGCAGCACACCGGCAGCAGAGGCCAAACTGAGGAACCTGACAAGCAACGAAGGCCTCCTGAAAACAAATGTGGAATATTTTGACACCGGTCGGGAATACCTTCCTTTTGTTGATCAGGTGCCTTCTCCCTGCAGTCAAGACCCTAAAGCACCCGAAGGAGAAAGAATCGAATGTTTTATGGCCGGGGACACTAGGGCAAGTGAAGTTGTTTCATTGGCAGCTATGCACACCCTCTGGTTGCGAGAACACAATCGCCTTGCCAAAGCCTTGAAGACCCTCAACCGGCACTGGAGTCCCGAGACGGTTTACCAAGAGGCTCGCAAAATTGTTGGGGCTCTCCATCAGGTAAGGTGGACCGTTGGTTGACATATTTTCATCATGTCATACCTTTTCACATCAACCTTTTTTTAGAACTCTTTCCAAATAGCAGTATCAGTTGGAGAAATACCCATGGCAGGAGGCAGAATTCTGCCCACTAGTCTAGCCCATGAACTGTACACCTTCATCTGACTGAATAGGCATGCCTTCGGGTGGCACCATATACAGATAATGACATCTCACCTATGCCCATGCCCAAGTGACCCATCTTTGACTATGCACTTTACGTGCCGTCTGAAAAGCACTGATAATAAGAGTTATTGTTCTGTCTGTGTTTGGTTTTTAGCATCCTTCGCCCTTCCTGTGTGGAAGGGCAGCAGGATCATCCCTGCTATTCCTGGACTGGGGGGGGGCTGTATGGCCATGCTGGCTGGGGAACTGTGGTCCCCAGAAATTAATGTCTTCACGCTCTGGCACAGAGGTCCAGAGAATACAATCTTCAAACAGGGCTCCTTCCTGGAATGTGAAATCTCTTTACCTCTCATGGACTCAGCTAGCTGACCTAAGCTCTGACCATTGAGGGACAAAAAGAGGTAGCTCCTTCAGCCCCTTTGGTCTTACGTTTTCATTTCCCTCTTTGTTCCTTTTCTTTGCACTTTCTCTTTTCTCATTCAGACGCCCTGTTGTGTTTCCTTCTGGTGATTGACTCTTTATGGTTCTACTTTACTATTCTGTTTGGGCACAGTCTTCAAAAGGTGTGCTGTAGATAAATAACGGCACACCGTAAAAGGATATTTGAGATTTATGATGCACAAAGTCTCTACTCATAAAGCCCTTTAACCACGTGGAGGATATTATTCTGAAAAGAAAGATGAAAATTATAGCAGCAGGTTACGCAGGACATAAGCCATTCAGATGCTTCCGTGCAGCTGCAGGGAAGAATCGCATTTTCTCCTTTCCAGCTGCTTATATGTGCCTGTTTGGGCAGCAGTAACTTGTAAAGCATGGGAGTTTAAAGGTGGGGGGGAGCATCATTTCGCACAAGCAGATTTATATCTAGGGAATGAATATTTCCTGCTGGGGCTTTGGATAGATGAACAGATAGACATACAAATAGACAGAATTACTATAAACAGTTGTTAAATTCTAATAATATGAATGTTCTTTCAAATGTTACCAATCTGTTCTCTAGTCTACATGATCTAAGGTGTGTACCCAGGTCAACAAGACAAATTAGCCCGCCACTGAGTTAAACTAGATAAGTAGAATTAAGGTGAGGTGGGCAGCAATTTTGCACCTGCTTTCCTGGGTGTAAATCAAACTGAGCACCATAGTTTACTTCTCAGAAGCCATGCATCAGATTGTCCTTTCATTTTCACGGGCACCCATAAACACAGTGAAGCTGGCAGCCAAGCGCTGTGGCTCATTCTTCTAGACAGAGTGGGACAGCCTTCTTGTGCAGATCTATTTGGGCTACTCTTGTGGCTGCCTGTGGAAACCACAGGAAGTGTCTCCAAACAGTAGCCATAATACGAAGACACCGGCTATGTGATCAAGTGATCCTTATTGGTGAATGGCTCCCAACCTTTATGACCACCACACGGGGCTACTTCTGCCTGTAACCAAGGTCCCAGCCAGAGCTAGGCATATGCTTTCATTAAATCCTAAATTCTAAAATAAGGGTGAACCCAGATGGTCTAACTGGATTCAGCTACATTGGGCTAAGTAGGGTTGCTTAAGATCACATAGTAGACTTTTGCTCTAGATGGGTGGGATAGACGGTCCGGTGGGATAGAAATCCAATAAATAAATAATAGAGGTGTGGTATACCATTTGGGGTTAATCCTGGCATCCATATGAAAGGATTAGGCTGTTTCAGGGCAGCAAACCATGCTGCACCTTAAGCCACCCTAATTAGTCCATTCTTCCCTTTAAAGGGAAATAAAAAGATGAAAGGGGGAAAACAGGAAAAAAGGATTCTCTTCTGACACTCACAACCCTAGTGCAACACAACATGGTTGTGCTGCACCCACATGTACACAAGAGACCATGCTGCTGGGAAGGGGGATGCTCAGCACCACATGGAGCCACTTCTACAGTACTCTGTACCTGGAAAACCCTGAAAAGGGGTTGCCATAAGTCAGAATTGGCTTGACTACGCAACATGATTAGAAATGGGGGTATTCTTATATGAATACAAATACCCCTGCACAGATGGCAATAATGAAGGTACAGCTCCATGGGGCCGGACGGTCCACTTAAAATTCTGCCACTGCCACAACCTCCACGGAGCCTTCCAATCTGTGAGCCACTCTTTGACCTGGCAGAGTCTTGTCATCCTGCCTCTTCCCAGGAGTGGCAAGCCGATCGCAATCTCCGGAGCTATTGGAAGGCTCTGCGGAGGTCGCAGCAGTGGCACAACAGTGAGTGGACTGTCCAGCTCCGTGGGGCTGGACCCTCATTGTCGCCACCTTTGCAGGGATATTCGTATGCAAATATGAATACCCTCATCTCTAATCATGATAATTTATTATTCAAAATACCTGAGACAGTTAATCAAAATTATAAAAACATTGACTAGTATTAAACAACAGAGACAAGTTTTAACCAAAAACCTAAGTATCTGTTAAGTATTGGCACAATATGTATGCTGCTCGTAATATTGCCGTTTTTTGTAGCTCTAACGGTGTCATTTCTGAGCTGTGCAACTGCTTATGTTACTGTGTGAAATTTCTTGATACAGTGGTGCCTCGCTTAACGGGTGCCCCGTTTAATGACAAAATTGCATAGCGAAGAAGAATTTGCGATCGTAAAAATGCTTAACGGGTGCCCCATTTAATGACAAAATTGCATAGCTAAGAAGAATTTGCGATCGTAAAAACAATTGCATTGCGATGTTTTAAATAGGGAAAAAATCGCTTTGCGATGATCAGTACCCTGTTTCAGTTACCGATTATCGCATAGTGATGTTTTTAGAACAGCTGATCGGCGGTTCCAAAATGGCCACCAGGTAAAAAAAATGGCCGCCCGCTGTTTTCAGGGACGGATTCCTTGCATACCGGGCAGCGAAAATGGCCGCCGTATGGAGGATTTTCACTTTAAGGTGAGTCTGAAGCCCATAGGAACGCATTGAAGGGGTTTCAATGCATTCCTATGGGCTTTTAAAAATCACATGGCGACGAAATCACTTTGCAGCGATTTTTGCTGCACGGATTATCGTCACTATGTGAGGCACCACTGTGATGTTCCCAAAGCCCCAATGACTACTGGGACCAATGAAGTGTGTTTCATCCACAAGTGAGGTTTTCGATTGCAAGGTCTCTGTATTCCCCCCCCCCAATTCTTTATTTTCAACTCTGGCATCCCCTGGAATTGCAGTGTCACTGATTCCGACATTTCTTCATTCTATTACTACTATGTCTGGTGTGTTATGTTCAAGGTGTTATCAGTTTGGATCCAGATATCCCACATGATCTTGACTTCCTCATTTTCTGAGACCTTCTCTACCTGATGTTCCCATCGGGTTTTGGAGGCTGGCAAATTATATTTTTTGCATAATGATCAGTGCACTAATTTTGCCACTCTATCATGTCTCATTTTGTAATGTTTGTGCAATCATTGGACATTTACATATGAGATATAATACAGTTTCATCTTTTTCTTGGCAGAGTCAACATTTTAGCACTTACTCCTTGCATCTTCGTTTTCATCATATTAGTTTAGAGTGCTTGTTCTTGTGCAGCAAAAATCCAGCCTTCGGTTTCTTTCTTAATGGTCTTCAGTTTTAGCCATGTCCATGTTGAATTATGATCATGATTTCCATCAATATTTCTCAGGTGTTGTCCATTTAGTGGTTTATTTTTCCAGCTGTTTAATTTATTTTCACATTGTTGTTTCTTAGCTTGGGCCTTTGTTTCTGTTGTTTTCAAAATATTCTCCATTTTCACTGCCTTAGTGTAATTTTTCTCTGCTTGTACTGATATAATCATTTAGACTTCTTTTCTTCCTCTTCTACTACTTAGTATTTGCAGTAATCCACAGCCTCCGATTGTTTATGGCAAATATAATCTGTCCACATCACTTTTTGGATGCAGTGTATGATGCATGTTCATTAGTTTATGTGTTTTTGGATCCAATTCTTCTAATTTGTTTTGAGTCCAATCTATTATTCTAGCTGGGTATCGAATTACTGGAACTGCCCATGTGTTTATGGTTTTGATTGTATTTCCACCATTTAATTTTGATTTTAAGATTTCCTACAACTTTTGATATATTCCATTTCTGTCAGTTCTTTCACTTTTGTGTGTACAATGTTATCTGCTTCTAGTATTCCAATGTATTTATAATTTTCCTTGTTGGAAGACATGCAATTGGTTGATAATTACTGGGTTCATTACCCTTTTGATGGTCTTTTATTATCAGAAATGTGCGGCCTGTTGTCATCCAATCTTGAGTTGTAGAATTTTGAAGTAAGTGTTTAAATTGCACTGCTATACATTGATGGACATTTGTTTAATGCTTTAACCCAAATCCATGCAGCTTATCTGGACTCCGATTTTTCACAGCCTTTACTTGCCTCTTAATCATTTCAGTTGTTATTACAATATCATCCATTTGTTTTCCTTGAATTTCTTTATAAATGTCTTTAATCCATGAGGCATTTTTGTTATGTCCCATTGGGCTTTCCTATATTTGTTTCCAAAATTTTAGAGCAATTTTAGAGCATGGGCCTAATTTCTTTGCTCTGCATTTTCTCCTAGTGGTGTATATAATCATTGTTGGTTATTTTGAAATTGTGTATTTTCTCTATATTGTTCCAAGTGTCCATCATATATTTCAGTTTTCTTTGCTGTAGCTGTTACCTGTTGTTTTAATTCTTCCATAGTTTAAACAGTCATTTTCCTTTCTAGGTCATATATTTTGCATAGTCTGGCTTTTACTTTTTCATTTTTTAGTTTAGAATCTTTCGAATGTTTTAAGTTGCTAATGTCTGCACTTAATTTGTTTATTTTTCTTTCCAGATGAAT